TTTGTAATTAGTAAAAGTACACTTAATTTCAAACAAATGGAGTTGAGTGGTTTTCTTTCCTGATTATTAAATGAAGTCGCACCCGACACGGCGTTTGTAGCAAGCCTTTTTTGCTGGAGTGGGTAGAATGGGACAATCCCATTAATAAGCAATTTCTGAAGGTGGTTTAGCCTAGATTTGCCCATCATTCCAAGATGTAGTACAGTGTTTCTCAATTTTTGCAACTTTGAGATGTGTGGACGTCAATTCCCAGAACTCCACAGTGACCATGCTGGCTGTGGAATTGTGGGAGTTGAAGTCCACATGGCTGAGAAACATTGACCTAGCAGGTCATTTAAAGGCCTAACAATATCAATTCCCCAAAGCAAACTGCAAATCCATAGAGTACACTTTCCATATCCCTCACTCCTCTGTTCCCAGCACCCTCTAAACCACCTTTTGTTACCAAGCTTCAGAAATAGATTCTTTCTTCCCATTTTGGCTACATGTGGAGTATGTCCTGTAGATACTACTAGCCAAAATAAGCTATGTAAATTGAAGTCAGTAATCATCTAACTATGAGCCAAGTAGCTTTGAAAAATGGTTAATTATTTTGCCAGAATAGGGAAGAGACACAATTTCTGTCATCACCTGAAATCTGGTTCAGGGCTAAAACAAAGGCCCTGGAAAATGTGAAAAAGATGTCTTAATTCGTCTGCATGGGAATTTCCTACTAATCAAGAATAGTTTCCATTTCCCACCGATATTTTTTTCCAGACACAGCTATAAATGGAATATATGGCTAAATCTACTAAAATTATGTTCCATCAATATGCCCACCTCTAAGCCCACCATCTAGCAGTTCAAAAGCATGGAAATGCCAGTAGCGTATAGACATGTTGACCACATGATTATGGAGAATGTCTTTGGACAACGCTGGCTCTCTTGCTCAAGAAAATGGAGATGAGTATTGTGTCCTGGAGTCAGACACAGCTGGACAGGGAAATCTCTACTAGTACCTTTACTAAATCTATAATGCGAATGAATGTGTTGTTGCAGAAAATGACAGGCTTTAGACTTCTCAGGATACAGGAAAAGTTTATTTGGCAGCCAGGTTCAGAAAGCCAGCCCATGGCTTAGCATTGCAAGTTCTGAACAACCTTCATTATCGAAGCAGGCGTTCTTATACATGCTCAAAGACAGCGTAACACGGAAACACTTAACTCTTAGTGGTTACCTTGAGGAGAAAACCTTATAAGGAGATGGGGGGTCTTACTTCTCCTTTTGTTTATGGAGTACGTGTCATTAACGAACTTTAATTGAACCTTGGACTCTTGACATAGGTTTTGACATAGACTTTTGACATAGGGACATTTGTGGTTAGGCACTTGCTTCCTGTTCTTTTGCAAGCTGCAAGCTGCAACTCTGCCTATGTAGCTTTAATATAGAAGTAAAGGGGCTCTGAGAGGCTGTCCAGCCTGACCCAGTAGGTTTCACACTTAATGTGCAAATCTCACTTTACGTCCTACTTTATCATAAGTCCATGTATTTAGAGCCGAGGTGGCGCAGTGGTTAGAGTGCTGTGCTGCAGCCACTTCAGCTGACTGTTCTCTGCAGTTCAGCGGTTCAAATCTCACCGGCTCAGGGTTGACTCCAAATCTCACTTTACGTCCTACTTTAGTGTGATCGTGCTGATCTGTGGATCCTTGTATGTGGCTGCATTCTAAAACACAAATGAAAATTTTCAT